GTGCCGCTGTCGCATTCCTCAGAGCTGTAGTATAGCACCACATGTGTCTTTGGTGCCACAGAGTTGAGCTGTAAAACTTGCAGGAAGGGTTTGCTTTAAGCGCTCTGTGGTCGGGATGGAAGCTGTGGAAAGGCTGCGTTAAGCCACGGGAGCGAGTGACCCTCCGAAGTGCAGGTTTGCTTTGCAGGGGTTCGAGGGGTAGGATTTGCTGGTTGGGGTGTTCCAAAGGAAGCTGCAGGCAGGGAAGCTCTGCGTGAGAACACAGCAGCTGCCGTTCTTGTTTACTGCTTACAGGTGATGTCCTTTGTGTTCCTCTTGTAATGGTTCTTGTTTTGCTGTAGAATTGATGGTGCAGCACCAGTGTTTGGATGACTGGAGGTTATGTGTGATCCTCTAAGGAAAGGGATTAGCGCTGTTACTGTTTCTGGGCTCAGAGGTATCTTTTTGCCAGCACTTAGCCCTTCACAGCTGAGGCTGCAAGTGACCAGACAGAACCTACTGGCTACGTGTCAGGGCCAAATAGGCCTAAAGCTGTGCCCAGCTGGTGTTTGTCTAACCATGTGTGTTAGGGATTAGCTGAGGAGATAGTGGAATCTGTCTTATTGCTTCAGGAGCTCTCTGTAACCACAGTGCAAAACCTTCTTACAGCTTCCTGTCATGAATACCACAAAGTTGATGAGGGTTGGAGCATCTCTGTGAAGACAGGCTGAGGAAGTTGGGGCTGTTCAGCCTGGAGAAGAGGTTGTGTGGAGACCGCATAGCAGCCTTTAAGTGTCTGAAGGGGCTACAGGGAAGCTGGAGAGGGACTCTGCTAGGAACTGCAGTGACAGGACAAGGCGTAATGGGGTAATGGATTCGAATTGAAGGAGGATAAATTTAGGCTAGATATTAGGAAAATGTTTTTTTCCTGTGAGGGTGGTGAGACACTGGCACAGGTTGCCCAGGGAGGTAGTGGTTGCCCCAACCCTGGCAGTGTTCAAAGCCAGGTTGGATGAGGCCGTGATCCACCTGGTCTGGTGAGAGGTGTCCCTGCCCATGGCAGGGGTTTGGGACTAGATGATATGTAGGGTCCATTACAACCCCTGAAATTCTATGATTCTATGTCCTGCTTGTTTCTCTCCCCTGAAGATGGTTTCTGGCTACTCTAAATGCCTTTTCCAATTCCCACTTGCAAAGGGAGTTTGTGTGGTTACACTAATGATGTGATGGTTTTCAAGTTGAAGTGGTCCTTGGATCGCTGAACTTGCTGTGTCTCTCCAGGAGCCAGTGGTGCTGACAGATACGAATCTGGTTTATCCTGCCCTGAAATGGGACCTGGACTACCTGCAGGAAAACATTGGCAATGGGGACTTCTCGGTGTACAGTGCCAGCACACACAAGTTTTTGTACTATGATGAGAAGAAGATGGCTAATTTCAAGAACTTCAAACCCAAGTCAAGCAGGGAAGAGATGAAGTTTGCTGAGTTTGTGGACAGACTCAAGGAAATACAACAAAAAGGGAGTGCTGAGAGGTAAGTGACATGTGGAGTGTGGTGGCATCTCCCTTGCTGCAGCTCTGAGTAGGGGCTAAGTTTTTCTTCAGTGAGTGCTGAGGGTTAAAGCCTCTCAGACTTGTTTGTTTTTGTTAGCCCTACTTTTCCTGCAGGGCTGCTGCTTGGCAGCAGCATTGTTACCTGATTAACAAAGTCACATCATTAGTTAAACAAACTGTTCACACTGGCTGCTCAAAAGTAGTTATTTATTTCTCCTCTGTCTGTGGCAGCATTTGGGTAGAGAAAGAATTAAGCTTCACTTTCTTTCAGCAGACTGTGGTATTGGTAGAGAAGCTTAGTTAACTATCTGATCAAGAGGCAGAGGCTGTGGCACTCAGACTTTTCCTCAGAATCCCAAGGCAGCTGGTGCTCAGCCTCTTTGGGAATAGGTGATGACATTGTGTGCTGTGTGTTTGGCAGCGGTGGTAACCCACACCACTAGCAGAGCTGTGAGTTAATGAGAGGAACTTTGTGTGAATACTGAATATAACTAAGGCACTGGCACAGGTTGCCCAGGGAAGTGTTGGCTGCCCCAGTGCTGGCAGTGTTCAGAGCCAGGTTGGATGAGGCCTTGAGCAACCTGGTCTAGTGGAGAGGTGTCCTTTCCCATGGCAGGGGATTGGGAGTAGATGATCTGTAAGATCCATTCCAATCCCTAAAATTCTATGATTCTGTTATAACTATCAGTAACTGTACTTAAACCCTGAATTAATTTCATCAGTCACCAGCCCTCTAAAAGGACTTGGGGATGCTTAATTGTGTCTTAATTGGAAGCAATAACCCATCATCAGTAGGGTAAAACTAACCTGTCTCATGTTGTTCTAAACACAACTCATGTTCCCTGTTAGTGGGTGAACAATCCAACTCTTGTGTTCATATCCTCTTGTCTGTGCCTTTCTCTTCTTTCTTAGCTGTGGGTGTGCTTTTTCCAAGAGAGAAGGCAGTCCTTGAGCTTAAACAAGCATTTTCCTTCCAGCATTGGCAGTGTTGTCTGTGATACTGTGATTGTTGGTACAGGTGCTTGATTCCTCTGATCTTCTATGTCTAAATGTAAGCATGGCTTTAAAGTAGCTTGATACTGAAACGTGCAGGCTTTCCTGAGCCCTTTTTTGCCCTCATGCACTTCTACTAGAAGAGGTAACTGATATTGCAGATGAGTTAGCTGGGTGGCATTTATCTAGGGATTACTCATGATGATACTGTGATTGTTGGTACAGGTGCTTGATTCCTCTGATCTTCTATGTCTAAATGTAAGCATGGCTTTAAAGTAGCTTGATACTGAAACGTGCAGGCTTTCCTGAGCCCTTTTTTGCCCTCATGCACTTCTACTAGAAGAGGTAACTGATATTGCAGATGAGTTAGCTGGGTGGCATTTATCTAGGGATTACTCATGAGTGTGTTATGCTGGGTGGCATTTATCTAGGGATTACTGTGTGTGTTTGATAATGGCCAGTCTGTATAGAGTTTCCTCCTCCTTCACTGTGAGAGGGTTGTTCTTGCTTCACATTATCTTTTCCCCTTGTGATTGTTCAAGCAGAACTGAGTTCTGTTCCCTTCTGTACCAGGAAATCTTTCAGCAAAGTTTGAGGACTTTTTGAAATTGTTTTGCTCCACAGGTGTTTGCAGTGTGTAGTGTTAGAACAGAATCTCTAGGAGTTACGTCTCTGTGTTGAAGTCTTTCTGAAGGATATTGAGGTGTCTTTATGACAAAGCTTAATAGTCGATTTCTGCTTGTCTCTGGGAAAATACAGGCTATATCTGCAGCAAACTCTGAATGACACAGTTGGAAGGAAGATTGTGGTGGATTTCCTTGGCTTCAACTGGAACTGGATTAACAAGCAGCAAGGGAAACGTGGCTGGGGTCAGCTGACTTCTAACTTGCTTCTGATTGGCATGGAAGGTAAACAGCTGCTTCTGACTGGAGAAGGGGAGGAGGTTTGCTTAGCAATTCTGTATTTCAGTTCCAGGTGGTCTTTCCAATGGATTTTTCAGTAGTTTCTAAGTGTTCCTTCAGAGAAGGCTTTGGGTTGGGAAGGGACTATTGTCACAACTTGACTTGGGTTATAGAGGGGCAACAAGAAAAGAAATAGTCTGTATTTCCCTGGGGATGTACTGTGGATGCCTGGATGTAATCTGCTCATGGACAAGCTCTGTGTGATGCTGGTGTAGGACTGTGTTTCCAGTAATTGCTGGTCATATTGTGAGACCTGTTTACTGTTTGCATGCTTCACATGCTGTAGATGTAAAAGGCTCATAGTCTGCAGGTTCAAAATGGAAGGTGAGCAGAGTTAGACTTCTGGGCTTTTCCTAGTATGTCCAATGTCTGCCCAGGAGGAAATAGGATTATTTTGTGAAGCGTTTTTTCTAATTGGAGCTGATACACTGTGAGGAGGAATTCTCTTTTAATTAAGAGCTGGTTTTTTTTTTTCTTGGAAGGTTAGGGAGCATTGGGGAACTTGCAGATGGATAAATTCTAAAAATACCTGGATAGAATAGAATTCCAAATCCATGTGGAGACTGACTCATCGGCAGATGCTTTAGAAGACAGAGGTACCACTCTGCTGTTGACAAGGAGAACATTCTAGTGGAAAGTCATTTCAGTAACTGGACGAAGAATGTACACAGTTTTGTGAAGTGGGATAGTCTATAACCAGTGTGGCTCATCACATCCAGCTGTAATTGTTCAGTTACACAACTTGGCAATTCGTGGCACTTCAGTTCCAACAACAGGTGTTTTTTCCCCCCTTTGCAGCAAGTGATACTCAACTTACAGTATTGTTGTGATACTGAGAAGATAGCTGAGAGAAGAGAACTTCACATAAAAGCACTGCACCATCACTTCAATACAGGCCATAATATGGTCACTAAAATCTTGTAATCAACAAGTTCTGTACAGCCAAGGAATTGTCTTGAACCAGTGTGTGCTAGGAAAAGAAAAGTCTTTACAGAAGCATGTGGTTGTATGACCTATCTAGTGAAGTTATGGGGTTAACTGTTAATTATTGCAAGCCAAGAGAGTAATATCTGACTTGGCAAACAGCCTGAAAAACAATTGTGAGAGGTACAAAATGTCCCTCTGTATTTACAGATCTGATTAAATTTAAGATCTAGTGGCCACACTCAAGCACTGGTGATCAGACTGAGGGGGTGCTACTGGGAGCCTCAGCAACACAGATTTGTTTACTTGTTTTCTTCCAAAACTTCTTTTAAAATCACTGTTAAACCACTTTTCTCTAGACATATAATTTTTGAATGTCCATTCCGCAGCTTTTCATTTAAACGAAGTGTTTCATGAGAAAGCTTCCTGTCAGCATTCACCATCTGCTGTTCATTGAAACAAGCTGGAAATCCTAATCCTCTAGAGCATAAGTTGCTGAATATGGATTTAGAATGGAAATGAAGTGGAGTAGCAACTGCTCAATAAAGGCTGACTGATACAGTGATCAGTTTGTAATGTTCCTGTAGTCATTTTCCTTATTTAGTTTTCTGTATATGAGAGTGTATTTTCTGTCTTTAGCAAGGAATGCAACTTGCTTCTCTCTTTCATACCTGTACATGAGAGTGTCTTAGTTGCTGAATATGGATTTAGAATGGAAATGAAGTGGAGTAGCAACTGCTCAATAAAGGCTGACTGATACAGTGATCAGTTTGTAATGTTCCTGTAGTCATTTTCCTTATTTAGTTTTCTGTATATGAGAGTGTATTTTCTGTCTTTAGCAAGGAATGCAACTTGCTTCTCTCTTTCATACCTGTACATGAGAGTGTCTTGATTATCATCTTTCTGTGTAGGGTGGAATGTGACACCAGCTCATTATGACGAGCAGCAGAACTTCTTTGCTCAGATTAAGGGTTACAAGAGGTGTATCCTGTTCCCTCCTGACCAGTTTGAATGCCTCTACCCTTATCCTGTGCACCACCCATGCGACAGACAGAGCCAGGTGAGAGTAGCAGATCTGTTCCCTGCTCCATGCAAAAAAAAGGCATTTGTAAAGATGCTAGGTGGGAGGAAGCTGCAGTGGAATTCAAGCTGCATAGCACTTGCTGAGCTTATGCAACACCTGTGTTCACATCTGTTTACTGGTGAATGCATCGATAATAGATGGACGGACCAGTGGTGTTTGTTTGCTCTGGCCCCAACTTCCAAGTGCTAGGACCACAAACATATTGCTGATAGCACGACTGGGCTGCAGCTGCTACCTTCTCCCTTCTGTTTCAGTGATCCAGCACAGATTTGCTGAAAGACAAATCACAGGCCTCTTATCTAAACTGATAGTACTTTGAGGGTACTGGAAGACCTCACAATGGAGTTAAGATACAAATGGGAATGTAAAAGCCATGTAGAGAAGATCAGGATTATTTGACACTGAGAGCCAGTAATGAGGACTGTCATCGCAGGAACTTCTTCTGAGTTTGTTAATGTTTTCTTCTGTTAGGTGGACTTTGACAATCCTGACTATGAGAAGTTCCCAAACTTCCGGAGTGTGGTTGGCTATGAGACCGTGGTGGGTCCAGGAGATGTGCTGTACATACCTATGTACTGGTAAGAAGGATGGCAGGACTGCACAGTGGTGCAGCCAACAGAGGTGTAAAAGGTCTTCTACTTAAAGCGTTGAGTTGGCTCTAAAGAATATTTTGTTTTGATTTCTCCAGCAAGTATGATACTCTCTGTGATATCTTGGGCAAATCTGCTTTTATTTCTGTTGGACAGGAGTAGTAATTATCCCTGATACTGTGTTATTGTACATGTACTCCACTACTGTGTGTGAGGAAAGGATCTGTATTGAACTAAGCAGAGCTTTTCAGGCATTCTGGGGTCTTGATGATGGAGGTGTAGGGCAAGGCTTGTCTAGTGCTGTCTGAACTCATCCATCCAATGTATTTCACTATAAGCTACAGCAATAGTTTGTTTTCTTTTTCTTTGTGTGTAATTTCCATGCAGGTGGCACCACATTGAGTCTCTTCTGAATGGGGGGATTACCATCACTGTGAACTTCTGGTACAAGGTGAGTACCAGCACCTTCCTGTGTGGTTTTGATAGCTCCATCCATCCCAGAGGAGTTTTTCAGGTAGAGGTGTATTGACACATTGTCAGTATGTGAACTTCATGGCACCAAGTCCTTTGCTTTAAAGCTGAAAGCTACTCTGTGTCTTTTGAGTTGTGTGTGAAGAACTGGGTGACTGGAAGAAGGTGGAATAATCTGCCAATTCAGGAAGTATCCAAACAAGCTGTTTTTGATATTTCAGGGTGCCCCAACCCCAAAGAGAATTGAGTATCCGTTAAAGGCTCATCAGAAAGTTGCAATAATGAGGAACATTGAGAAGATGCTGGGAGAAGCCTTAGGAAATCCACAGGAGGTATGAAAAAGAACCATGTGCTCACTGCTGTTGAAATCACTAAGGCTGAATGCAAAGCTCAAGATGCCAACTGCTTGGCTCTGCAGGTGTCACAGGGAGGGAAGGAGGAAGCTGCATTGCTCTTTTGCTGTGAATGGTTCTTCCTGCAGTCTTCGTAAGGTCTTTTGCTTGCAAAAAGCAAAGCTCTTAAAATTATAATTCTGGAAAGAACCACTACAAATAGTGGATTAGAGATGGCCCAACTCTGGCAGTGTTCAAAGCCAGGTTGGATGAAGCCTTGAACAACCTGGTCTAGTGGGAAGGTGTCCATGCCCAAGGCAGGGACTTGGTTGGGACAAAGGCCCGTTCCAACCCCTACAATTCTATGGTTCTGTGATTCTTGCATGTTGGGAAAGATGTACTTTGGGTCCTTACAGGATACTGTTGTTCTGAAACTCTCCTTAGCCTTCTGTGCAGCAATGATACCCATTATTTGCCAGAGAAAATGAAACTGTATTTTAATTGTTGAATCCAAATCTCTTAAATAACAAATCTCTTCTATCCTTAACACATGGCTTGGTCATCTCTGAACTCTTGGCCACTTTAGTCAACTGGCATATAAAAAATCCCCAGGTTGAAGTACTGAGAATGTGCCTTTGGAGATCTGCTGCTCTGAAAGTGGAAGTATTGGATATGAATAGAAATGTTTTCATGCTCTGTGTCCCTTACCACTGTGCAGGAACTCCTGTTCAGCCTTTCCCCTGAGATTATTTTAATGCCAGAGCATGTTGAACTTCCCTCTGTGATCAGGCAGTGCTGAGACATGGGAGTGGTCTTGTCTGAAAACAAAACCTTAGCAAAATCATCAGTCCTAGCCCCTCTTCCAAAAGACCCCAGGGCCACAGGTGATTCAGTGAGTAAGAATGTTCTTCCCTGCCCTGCAAAAAGCCACTCCTGATGACTATTGGCTCCTTTTGATAGCATCTGCTGAGAAATCACAAATCTTGGGTGGGAAGTGAAAAAGTTTCAGACAGATCCTCTGGATGGAATCCTTTGGTGACAGCTGAAGTTGGGTGTTGACAGAGAATGCTGCAGTTCTGGCAGAGTTGTTTAAGAATGTGCTCAGGGGTGCCCCAGTGTTTTATCTAGAAAATGCTTTGGAGGTGATTTGCTGTGCCTGGGGCTTGGTTTGTGCAGTGAGATCCTCTGCCCTGGGCTGCTCAGCTCAAGAGGTGTTGTGATGCAGAGGGCTCTGCAGTTGCCATTTCTGTGTAACTGTCCTAGCTGACAATTTGCTTTTGCTTTCAACAGGTGGGTCCCTTGTTGAATATGATGATTAAGGGACGGTATGACTAATGCCTGACTGCTGGGTGACTGATGTTGGAGCTGCTTTGTTCACAAGCAATGGAAGATACTGAGCGCTAGTATTGCACGCAGCACTTAACAGACTGATGGGTTTCCTGGCCTGTCCTGGCCCCACTACAATACAGGGGGCTACTGGAACTGCAAAACCATTAGTACCCCATTCATCCTCCACTCTCATCTAACTGAACCTCCCAAGAAAGAGTCTGCACTTATTGGAAGCTGGATTCATGCTCACTAACTTGTGTTTTTTTCTCCCTCTGCCCTGTTTGCCACAACAAGGAGCATGGCTTCTGGCACTTGGATGTGTTACTTCAGGATTTTCAGGCATTTGAAGAAGAGCTTGGAGGAGAACCAGGAGCGATATTGTTTCCTCGGCCTTGTTGGGGTTTGGACCTCCTGGCTGGGTTTATGTGTTGGTGCCTGCAGTGGATATAAGGTGGGAAGTGATAGGTTTTCACAGTCCTCTGTTGTTAGAGGACTTGTCCATGCTCAACTCTGGCACCTTTTTTTATGATGGAAACGAACTTGTGAGATGATCTCTGTGTGTTGAGCAACTGGACAAATGGTTCAGTATCTTCAACCTAAGATTTCTATGCTTTGGACATAGTGCAGGGTAGAGATCAGAATGAATTTATCTAGTGTGTGAGCACCAAATCCAATGCTCTCCAAATAACATGTCTTGTATGAGTCTAGATAAATCTCCTTTCTGACAGCTTTCTCAGGGGAGTGAAGGCTTCTCTCTCGCTCTTCTGAAGCTGCAGTGTGGTTAAAAGGGGATGTAGCATTATGAAGGGAGATGCATAAATGCCAGGGCACTCTCCAAGTCTTCAACGATCAAGCCACGTTTTTGAATTAAATTCCCCAGGGGTGCCGAGCTTGACTGTCAAACACAGTGTCAGATAGGTACAGAGCCTCACTCGCCCTGCCAGGGCTGTTGGCTCCTTGACTAACACAGGAAAGTGCCCTTTTTACTGAAACTGCAAGAACTCAAGTGTGTGTGGCTGCACACAGGTGTGGATGTTTGTGTGATGTCATGTGGCTCCTGTCCATCAGTTAAATCCAAGCCAGTGTGTGGTTCCCTTCCTTGTACAGTCGTGTGAAAGAGTACAGGGTTTTCTGTTTAATTGTGGTTAAGTTTATCTTGATCCTTTTTGTGTCCCGGGACTTGACATGGCAGGTTGTGAAGTGACAAGACCTGGGAGCAGGAGCCAGATAAGCCTCTGTTTAAGAATCTTGAGTAATCACCCTGAAAGATAATTTTGCTTTCCTCCTCCTCTCCCAGGCAGCAGCCTTAGGCCCATATGGAGTCTGGCTTTTTATTCCCTGAGATGTGCTGCACTGCTATCCCTGGTTTGGGGGGTGGTGCAAAGGTCTTGTATATTTGATGCGGTTGTAATGGGTCCTAGGATCTAGAGGTGGGAGAAGCTGTTTCATAGACCATGTATCTCATCCCAGAAAATAGTGGAGACTTAATTCTTTTGAGAGTTCCCAGCGTCTTCCCTGTTGTTCTTTGGGGCTTGTACTGACATGGGATTCTGATCAAAGTGTTGAGAACATGCTGCTCAAGACATGCACCCCCTTTGGCCTCAGGTCCCATCTCTCATGGGGACAGCTCATGCACCACTTGCAGTGGGCTCATCTTTCACAAAGGTGGAAGGCGTCGCAAACAGGGGGTCCAGGGGCAGGTTTTCTGGCTGCTTTACTGGTCAGAACAAATGAAGTGTAATTGGCAGCTGCAGGGTCCTTGTTCAAGAAATATGTCTGTGTCACTGAGTGGTCTGACTGCTGTGTTGCAGACTCTCCAGAGCTGTGGTTAGGTCCAGACGAAGGTCACTCAGCTGGATACTTACCGATGCTCAGCCTTTGGGCAAGTGGGGAAGAAGGCTAAGCTACTGACTGGCCAAAAACAAGGCCTTCCCAGGAATCCTGGGCATGTGCCCTTGGCTGAAAGATACTCAAATTAAATCCCATCTCTGTGCTATTTTTTTCAGCACATGGTAGTCCTCAGTACTGCTTGTTAGACACCATCAACTCTTGAAGCTCAGGGTGGGAGTTCATATCCCATGTGGAGAGAGAATGGTACTTACAGAACTTCTAGGATCCTTTTTTTTTCTTTTATTTGCCAAAGGTCTAACTTTTAAAGTGTCTGAACAGGTTTTGCTGCACTTGACTTTGTGAAAGCTCATTTACAATGCACTGATGGACTGACTCCCCCCCCCCTTCCCTTTTCACCTTGTGCTTTCAATGCCCCTTGCCATGGTATTGGGAAGCTGTGTGTTCTCTACTAGGGGTGTGTGTGCAGGGGGTGGGGTGTGACAAACACACGGTACCTTCTGAAGTGTAGTTCTTAAATACAACCAATGTTGAACAACAGAACTGTGTGGCTTTTATTTTGTGAGTGGCTGTGTGGGAGAGCTGTATAAGGACATGTGTGGTTAAAGCTACCTTTCAGTCTTTCTGGCAACTACATTTGCATTCTTTGCTGGTGAAAGCTCCTGATCTCCAGAACTGCCTTCAAAACAGCAATACCAACTGCATTATTGTGGCTCTTCACAACTTTCTCCATACTGCTTCCATAAGCCTGAAAGGAAACTTGAGATTAAGATGGTGTCCTGAAACCTGGTCAATAACAAGTGTTGGTGAGGAGGGAAAAGTTCCCTTCCCTGCTGACCTGAATGGTGTCACCATGCTCTGCTCACTGATGTGGTGATTGAGCAAACTACACAACCAGGTTTAATGAACTCTTATCAGTTGTCAAGGAGATTTTTTGGGGAAGATTCCTCTCTGTACCTCTGCTGCATGTTAGCAGCCTTGTGTTATGGTGTCTTCTGTACCTAATAAAGAAAGACACAGGTTATTTTATGGTAAGATAAACTTTACAGCAGTCTTGGCATCTGACCATCAGTGAAATGTTGGCTAAATACGACCAAATGTCTAATACGTAGTAAAACAGGGAAGAGTGGAATAGAGATGAGGGATGTGGGGGTTGGAGGGGAAGAGGGAGAGACAGATGCTTGAGCATGGGCTACCCCAACTAGCATTTTGTCTTTGCCCTTGGGGGCCAGGGTGAATGTGAAGGGAGTAGGAAAGGTAAGGGCATAAAGTCTTCTGTGACCATGAGTGTTCACCCTTCCCTGCTGTGCTTGCTGGGATCATCGCTTCTGAGCACAGTGTCTTCTGAATTTAATGGTCTGCTCTGTCTAATCCTGTAATCTTTGTTATGCACCTGCCTCTTGGGTAACATGCACAGCTGGCGCCACAAAGCTCAGAAATGTCTTGGGTTGTGCAGAGAAGCAGAGGAAAATGAGGGATGAAAACTCTCATTTGAAAACTAGATCAAACTCCAAGATTTTTCACTTGTTTTATTACCTTATGTCCCTTAATACCTTTTTTTTTTTCTTCCCATTTCCCTGTTGCTTGAAAAGTGGGATTTTTCTAAGGGGAAGCCTCTTAATCCTTGTAAATCATGGCTGCAGGATCTTTGCCATGGGAAGAGAAATGCACAGGTTTTTAGACTGATGCACTGATTCACCCCCTTGATGATCAGGGTCATACTCAGGGAAATGTGGAGTGGTAAGTCAAGTTCAAGGTGAAGCCAACAGGATCAGGACAGGGTTGAGGTGGTATGAGAGACAGCTGTAGTGCAGGGCAGATAAACAGTTGGGGGTGAGGGAAGACACCCTTGGCATCAAAGCAGCAGGAAGAAATGCCTGGGCTGAGACTAGTCCCCTGTTTGCAACAGCCCTTGTCAATGAGCAGGAAGGCCCTGAATGCAGCCAACTGTGCTGTAAAGTCCTGGAATGAGGGCAGTGCACTCAGGGTCCCAGCAATCTCCTGGCAGACCTCTGTTGATGTGTGGTCAACCCATGCTGCCAGCTCAGCCCTGGAAGCAGAGCAGCACCTGCAGCAGAGGGTATTGCCTTTGCATGTGTGTTTTTTCAACTGCTTTTCTCTAAGCCTCCCTTCTGCCATGTGTATGTGAGCAGCTTCCTTCCACTCTGGTTTCTACTCCTCATCTTCTGCTCCTGTTTTGGAACAGAAAGCACTACTCCCAGTCAATGTCCTGGAAAGTCCTGAAGCCACCATGGGCACTTTCCTCTATTGGTGCTGCCTATAAGGAAAGGAAAAGATGCTGTTACTGTGACAAACACACGCAAAGTAAGTTCTAATTACTGCCTCGCAAAGTCAAATATTTGTTGCAAGCAGAGGACTAATTGTGGGGGGAGGGAGCGGAAGTCGAGGCTCTTGGAGTGTAAGTGGAACAGATGCCCGGACGCCTTGGGGAAACGCAGCTTTCCTCTACAAATCAGAGCTTTAAATTACAAGGCTTTTACCAACGAGAACAGTTGTGGGAAGTCGTCTGCACTCATTTGCGTAATGGCTTCTGTCACTGGTGATTAGACACAGGATGAAGGAAAAGAAATTTGACAATTAGGAATGAGTGATCATTAATCAGAATCTTTGTTAGAAGGGGGGAAGGGGGGGAGAATATCCCACAAACAATGGAGGCAGCAACTAGAGCCACAGTGAAGTCCACAAGATTCATAACTGTGTGCTCCTGTTGCTCCACAGGGCCCCCTCCACCTAGGTATAGAGCAGCAGCTAGAATCGTGGCTGGGTTGGAAAACTTGTGGAGGAAGGCAGCTAGGTAAAATCCTTCCAGTCCTGTTCAGTGATTCTCAGCTATCTGCTTAGTAATGGAGAGAGCATATCTGGAAGCCCTGTCCATGGCCCATTCACACCTTGTGCTTCCATCTCAGTGCCTGGCCACAAACTGCCAGCAAAACACATGGAAACAACTTAAATTTTCAGTCTCTCCACACCTTGCATACAGTCTTGCAGTTTCTGGTGTGGAAGAGGGCAGACAGGGGCCTTGACTGGCATGCAGAAAGCTTAGGATGAGCAACGTGAAAGCAGTTCCAGGCTCTTTTCCTGATAATGTCATTTCCTACAAGAGCAAGAAGGAACCTGATGGACTGCATGACAGGTAAAGAAAAGAAGGCAGTGGTGACTTCTCTGTGTCTGTCATTTGCTGGCTTAGCTCATTGTCATCATCCCGTCATGCACAATCCAGTATATGAATTTGTTTGGGTCTTGTGAATTTTGATCAAATTATCAGTACACACAAAATCTTATGTTAGCTGTTTTTACTACACCTGTCATTCAGAGTCTTGTCAGGTTAAACATTTTGGCACAGTTTGCATGAAGAAGCATTGCCTCTGGTTAAATCAGCAGCTTTAAGTTGGGAGGGAGGTGTGACCGACCGTCTGTGGCGCATACAGCGTTGGTTGGTTCATCTGAAAACTTAAGCTTACTGGATTCATTGATTTCAGTGGCAATTCCTGTCTCTGCAAGGCTGGGTCATTCACTTGAAGTGAAGGTCTCCATCAGCATGATTATTCTTTCTATGACTGAAAATCAAAGTAGATACTTACAAAGGGGAGAGCTGAAGCCAGGTTGCCTCATTCCCAGCTGGCTCTGAGCTTGGACAAATGACATCAGCTTAGAATTT